TTTTGAAGCTCTTTGTTGCCTTTATAAACATTGACCCGGGCCACTATTAGGCATGGCCACATGTTCAAATTCGACGGGTTTCGATCTAATCTAATTCGATTGGGTCGATTTTTTTTTAAAAAAATTAGGTTCATGTCAAATTTTTTAGAGTTTAAGATTCGAGTCGATTTCAAGTTTAGGATTCAAAATACCCTAGCCGATCTAAAAAATATAATTTTATCTTATATATTTAGAGATAATTACAATAATATCATTCTTTATATTATTTGTTCAATTACATCTTTATTTTATTAAATAAAATTAGTATTTTTTTATAACCATATTTATTTCGGGTCAGATCGAATCGAATCGAAATTAAATTTTATTTAAAAACTCATGTTGAATTTTCGGATTGAATGAAATCATCCTATACTCGTATCAAATTTATATAAAGGAGATTTAATTTTTTGAGTTTTATTAAATTGACTGAAAACCCAAACCATCCCTATCCAGTCACTGTTACTTTCCCAAATGCAAGAGATCAGTTGTTTGTTTAGAAATGAATCCCCTTACCCGTGGCTTCAACCTATAAAATATGTTAATATTTCTCTATGTCGTTAGCATGAGTTAATATATTTCTGCAATCATTGTTAAATTTTATAGGTTTTTAAAAATAGACATACTCTATTAACAATATTTAAAAGTATTTATCTATATACAAATAAATTTACTTCAGTGGTTAAAAGAATTGTTTGATTTTCTAAAAATATGAACTTAAGCACCAATGACTGTAACAAAAATGATTAAATATTCATTATCAAATAATTGAAAGAATATTTTAAACATAAATTACATTGCAATCATCTTACCTTAATAAAAAAATATCTATCTTATCAAATATTTATACGCCAATATGAAACGGTTTCAATTTGATTATAAAAAAAAAAAAAAAGAGAAGAAAAAAAGAAACGGCTTCAATTCAGCTTAGTGATTTATTTTTGGCAAGAGTATTGGAATCTTCAATGGTGTGTGGGAACATCTAATATTGTTTAGAGATATACGACATTTGTTATAATGTTGGATGAATTTGTTATCTCGAAGTGATGAGTTTCACGGAATATTAATTTTTAATGGACCCGGATGAGTGGGTCCCATATGTGCCGATAATTTATTATTTTTATTGGGACTCATTATATCGAGAAGTTGAGTCTATTTAAAAAATATTTTTTGATTATTGAAAAAATTTAAAAATATAAAAAAAATTTAAAAAGAGGGAAACTCGTCACCTCGAGGTGACAAGTTTTTTTCGAATTCAAAAAATTAATCGTTTTGTAGCAGTTGGTCAAATGATAATAAAATTTATTTATATTTTCTAGGTTCTTGATTATGGCGAGGAGTGGTCGAATGATAATGGCATGGGGCTCATCGAGTACGGTGGGATCATCGGCCTTGATCGTCGTCATCGTCTTCATCTTGCCGAGGAGGTGTCCTTAACACACTTAGAAATCGACCTTCGAAATACGGTCATGGGCATATGGTATTTGACGCCATCATTGCTGTTACTGAAAGGACTCGGTGGCTATGTTGTTGACCATATACGATATGATCCTATTCATCGTTAACCACATGTTCTGCCGAAGATGTTTGAGTTTGTTGCATTGCATCCCATGAACTTCCAACCCAAATCGATTGAGTCTCGGTTGAAGTAAGATATGCAGGATAGAAACCAAAACTTGTATGAGATGCATTATAATAATCTTCAGCTGCAGATGTTGAAGTAGAAGAAGAAGACGCCGATGGTTTCTTCTTGGACTTGGGGAATTTGGCCTGATGTTGTTCCCATTCTCCCCTATCTTGTGGTGTCGTGAGATATGGTTTCTCATTTGCTTCGTAATTTCGGAGATAGGCAGAATAGTCAAAATATAGGTCCAGCAGTGTAATATTGTACCACGAGGGGAGCGATAGGTGTCGCTGATTCTATAGCTCGATGTAGTAAGCATGCTTTGCGGGCCAATTTTCAGTATGTTTCTCACTCGTATCAATTCTATAGAGTGCGTCCATCTCATCGATTTGCATAGGAATCGACTGATGAGATGCAACAGTACTCTATCACTGGCGTGCAACTCAACAATTGCAAAATGTAATAGCGATGTCAGGACACACCATAAATTAGACGCCTAAAAAAATTACTGTGGCAATAACCGGTAGATCTCGTTGTCAGCTTACTGAAGCAAAGAAAACTGTAAATATTAAATATCAAAGTTAATATATATATATAAAGTTTAAAAATAGACCCGAAAAATAATAAAAGAACGAATGTATAAAGCATATCGACCGACGATGTTGATCCTCATCCGTATATCTTTTGCAGTGACACTCGACAACTTCATCTCGGCTATTTTATGACACCATCTAAAATATTTAAAAATAGAAAAAGATTAAAAAATGGATAGAAAAAAATAATTCAAATTTAAAAACTAAGTTAAAAAATTATCTTCCAGTAAGAAGAAACTCTATTGGGGCTGTTGTAATCAACGACAAAAATGGGAACTGATACCACGCCCACGATTGTATCAATATTAAACAGCTTGCTACATTAACTTTTCGACCTTGTTCGAAAATTGCAGCCTTGCAAAACTCCCAGTATAGAAAGGCTAAAATCGCCAAGCCTCAACTGGTATTGCGACACTCAACGAAGTCATTTAATATTCGAAGATACCAAGTGTGCACCTAATTATCGGACTTACACAATAATAATATCCCTACGATCAGTTGGAGAAGATATGCTCGAGATGCAAAAATAACATCGTCCTCGGTAGAATCGTTGGTTACTTGGAATTCGGACTCCAACTACGTCATCCGTACCCGATAACCATCAATGAACTCGGATGGTGGCACTTTTCTCAAAACTTCGTCGACCAACATCTTGGGCTCGTAATTGTTCCGCCTCACCATAGGGGCTCCATTCACGAAAACATCGAGTTGGTAAGTGTGATATCTTCTAAAGTAATCGTCTCTTTACCACTCGGGAAATGGAAGGTGTGCGTCTCGGGTCACCAACGTTCAATTAGAGCTTGAATCAATACCGGGTACACCTTGAAACCATGTACAAATATAGAAGGAAAAATACCGGATTGCTGAAGATATACCAACATCAGCGGATGCAGATCTTTCGCAATCATCCCGCGTTGACGAATACTCCGTTCTTCTTCCGGTCAGAGTTTGATCAATGAAAAATGGATGTTGTCAATGCACAACATTTCTACGTGGGAAGCCATTTTTTGGGATTTTCACAGAAAGTCAGTTTTTTAAAAATATTTTTGGATTTAGGGTTAGATGAAAAATCAAAAATCAAAACCCTATTTATAACCTCAATTACCACGGCTATAATAAAAATATCCGACATAACTCGTCACCCCCAGGTGACGAGTTCCAAGTGACCGTTGCACAACAACCCATTGATCAACAATTAGTTTTTTGAATTCGAAGGAACTCGTCACTTCGAGGTGACGAGTTACCTTTTTTTTAATTTCTATTTTCAAAATTGTTTTTCAATAATCAAAAAATGTTTTTTTAGATGGATTAGTCATCTCGACGTGATGAATCATAGTAAAAATAATAAATTATAGGTATGAAAATAACTAGATATATAATAAAACTATTCAAGATTTGATCATTGTCTAATTAGCTGGTAAATAATGCCCCATTTCGACAACACTATAAGACATATTATAATCTTACGTATATCCTTAATCCCTATACATCCAATTTCATAAGTGCAGTTCATATAACATGCTTATCATACAAACTGCATTCGTATAAACAAATATTTATTAATAATGTTTCACACATTATAAGACATAAACTATATCATGAACAGGGCCGGTCCTGGCAGGAGGGGTGTTTTTTATTTTTATTTTTAATAATAAATTAAAAAATTATAAAATAAAATAACGAGGCCCATAAATTTATTAAAGTGTTAATTATCGTTATTAAATTTTTATATTAACGATAATAAACTTTTTCAACTTTTATCACAAGATTGTTCATAAGACAAAGAAGGTTATTCACCACGATTATAATTACTAAATTCATAAGACCGCGACTTCCAAAAGCCCAAGAGGTTACATGGGGGTTTCTGTGTTAATAAAATAACACTTCCCTTAACGTCTTGTGGTGAATCCTTTTATTCACTTTTTATTTCTCATATTTCTTACAAAACCAAAGTTATAATTATTCATCATCAATTGTGATGCTTGAATTTTATTAAAGATTATTCTTATGATTATTGGAAAGATTATGTTTTCAATTTTTTTCTTTTGATTTATATATTTCTAAATTTTAGATAATATCATTATTTTAATTCCGAATGGTACGTTATGTATTGAGAAAAATATATTGGAAAATATTAATGTTGACACTACCATTAATGATTTTGCATCAAGAAATGTTACAATGTTTTTTTATAAGTATTTGTATATTTTTTACATATTTGATATTGCAATGAATTATTACTTGTTTAATTTAATTAAAAAATTCTAATAGAAATTGTATATTACATGTTTCTTAAATTTCTTTTGAATTAGGGGTCCATTTTTTATTTTGCCCCAAATAAAAAAATAGTCGGGACCGGCCCTAATCATGAAATAATTATTTTTAAAATATATGAATAATTTTTTGGTTTATTGTTATTCAAAGTTGTCTTATGAACATTGTTAACTAATCTATTAATAGTTTTCGTTCTACAGCTCGAAACTTTGCTGGGTAATGACTGGAGATGTGATGCTATTACTTTTTAGCAGTGGTATTTAACACATATGGAACTTGAACCTCTTTAAACTTAAAAGGGATAGTGATTGGAGATGTGGTACCATCTTCATAAAATACTAAACCCACATTTGGCAAATTTGATCATTGCAAGTTCAACTTGCCTGATTCCTGGGTAAAACTAATTACCTAATCATACTCAACAGTAGAAATTAAAAAAACAAAATTAAAAACACATACATTTTTGTTTTAATTATTAATACATCTTGATCCAGATTCAAGGATGGGTGATTCACAATTACAGATAATTACCTCTTATTAAACGAAATCAATTAGCGATTAAGAATGGCATTAACATCTTAGAAGCAGAATTTGCTTTCATTTGCAGATATGAAGCAGCAATATTTTTGACTTGTTGCTACGGTGTCCCACAATCATACCCTCTTGTAATCCTAAAACTGTTATTTTCTTCCTTGCGATGACCCAAAGGCATTCAAGAAAGTTGGTTCATAAGGCAAATTCTTGCTCTGAAGTGCATAAAACGAGCAGCCTAAGTGGTCCTGCTTCAAACCAGAATTTCATTGAGGAAATTAGAAAAGAGAGAGACGTAGCACTAGCACCTTTAAAAAATAATGGCTTACACTAGAAGCGGGTTCAACGGTGTCACGCATACAAGGCCATGAAACCACTTGTTTTTCTTCATTACCGCTAGTATCATCGTCGTAGTAAGTGATATTTATCTCTTCTCTACAACCACTTCTATTGATGCAATTGCTGCAAGCACAAATAATGGATGCAAGCTTTGGTCCCGAGCCATTCTGGGCCGTAGAAGATTGACAGAGGTGGCAAAGAATAGTTCTTAAATGCCTATAGCCTAGCAACCAGAAAATTGGCACCGTGTACTCCGGAGTCACAGTCCCAGCACAACATGGCCTCATCTGATTCACAATACACTCTTGCCACATTATTGCAAAGCTCACACTTTTTACCTTTTATTTACATGATCTGAGAGAATTGCCTTCAACCTTGAATTTCAACGTGCCTTTTATTTTTTCTGTTTTTGTTTCTCCATAGTCCACCCCTAGTGCTTTAAATAAAGACTATACTATCAGGCATAAATTGATGATGAAAGATAAGCCTTGGCCTATTAAACACATGCATGAAATCAATTTTTTCACTAGTACTGAGTAAATCTCAATGTTAGGAGAGTAGTATTTTGTTTGCATTTTGTGGAGTGATAATTGTTGTATTTTTTTTTATTTTCTTTTGAAGTTATACTTCTAATTCGACAACTACAATTTTTGACGTAATCATTAATAGGTCCACATGATCTATCAACTAAATTTAGTATTTGACAACAAGATCCATTTATCTTGTCAACTTATAAATAACAATCATTATTCTAGAGTGTATACCAACAATGAAAATTTATATATAAATCATTGTACGATTATGGAAAAGAAGAATCACTCTTTCTCTATTTCGATTGCTCATCATTTTTCTTAATTTATTTATTCTCTCTTCTTCCACTAGATAATTATACAGAACTTTTAATCTAAATCACAAAAAATAAACCACACTATTCCATTTCTCCTATTAACAACAGTCGTCATGTTTCACCTGCCTACAGAATGTACAGTCAAATACAAATGTGTATGTCTGCTCTACTATTGATCCAACTTAGGCCGTGACAGAGAGGCCAAGTCCTTATTCCTTATCTAATTAAACATTGCACCTATTCTCTTATCTTAAGTGTTGATTAATTAAAATTAATCACAAAAATATAAACCACACTATTCCATTTCCTATTAACAACAGTCGTCATGTTTCACTGCCTACAGAATGTACAGTCAAATACAAATGTGTATGTCTGCTCTACTATTGATCCAACTTAGGCCGTGACAGAGAGGCCAAGTCCTTATTCCTTATCTAATTAAACATTGCACCTATTCTCTTATCTTAAGTGTTGATTAATTATAAAATTAAAAAAAAAATGATTCAATTTTGGTATAACAATGATAAAAACCTTGGAAGCATCTCTATTCGTTGGAGATTTGCAACAGTTGAGCACTCCAACAGGAAACTATGGGGGGAAAAGTGAAAAATAAAAACAACTCGCGTCTAAAGGGCATGAGGGCAAGATTACGAAGATAATTTCACTGGGCATGTGTACGGACTGACACAGCCGACTATACCGAAGTAGGATATTGAACTAAAGAGTCGACTACACCGAACCGAATTAAGATATTTAACTAAAGACTACTGTTAATGGCAAAGCATAAACCAGAAACAGTGTTTGATATTTTTTTGGCTTTCTATAAATACTTTGCACTCTGTATCGCCATTTGATACGAACCACAAGGTAGGTATTTGTTTATGGGGATCCTCCTCCATAAATTGCATGTGCACATAGCATTCCAGAATATATTTCATTTTTATATTAAATCACTCCTTTCTTTTAATATTGAATAGCCTGTATATCTATGAAAATACGAGTTAAAGATGTTACATCAACTTTACAAACATTTACTGATCATAGATGTTTAAAATTTTGTTCCATTATAAAGCATTCCATTATTAACTTTACAATTATTCCATTAATCGTGTAAAATCATAAAATAATAATTATCATATAAATCATGCTTAATTTTAGGAAGAAGTTTAGTAGTTAAAAAGTAAACAATACTGCTTAAAAACTACCTAATTTTAAAATATTTCTTTGTTCTTGTAAAATATAATTTACGAATGCACATGAATGTACCATAACTTAACTAGAAAGTACTCAACTTAATGGCATGCCAAATGTACCTACGACTCCTAATGCAACATACAATGAATTTTCCATTAATTATTATATATTATTCAATTATCAAAGATATCAACATATCCACCTCTTCATATCATAACATAATGGACAGTTCATACTCTAGACATTTCATTTTCACATAATATTTATATGTCATAGTTATCGTCAATTATCTTTCTTTAATATATAAACATCATATTCATCATATAATAAATATCATAACTATCATACCAATTGTAATAGAATTTGATTTCTTTTGAGCATTTATAATAACTTATAACATAAGAGTAACATGAAAACATAATTTATGACAAGTTTTATATGATGGCAATATGCATTACTTGCAAAGAAATATTATTATGTATTAATATACACACTTAAAAAATATTCCGTTTATACCAATAGAAACTATACTCGAATACGAATCTAACTATATAAGACACTTTTTCTAGTTTATGTTATACAATTTATAGTGAATTTTCAAAGTTGACCTACAGAAGCTGTTTTGAGCAGAATTTGCTGTCATGCTTTCTGACCTATCCTCAATTAAAAATTCATATCTTTTTGTATATCTATCGAAATCAGTATTCGTTTATTTTAAACAAAGATATACTGGCATACAACTTGAAAGGTGTAAAAATCATCCTCTAATAATTGTTTTATAATTTATGATGATTTTCTAAACTTACTGTTCAGAACACAAATCTGAGCATATTTCACTAACTTATATTTTTAGCTTATTCACTAATTCTATTAGCATATTAACTGAACATATATGCATGAATCACAATTCACACAATAGTTAGAAGTTACTTCTTACCATAGTAATTCAGTCACTGGCTCATCGCAAGCCAATGTTTGCTCGATAACACAAATACGAATTAAATATGCAGTCACATGGTGTCCTTAGCTTGTGAACCTTCACAACACTTCATATTATGTCCTTAAGCTTATCCTTAGCTTTAACATTGCTTGATCTTGATTTTAATCAGAATCTAAATGAACACCATTTACATAAAATATACATTTCAAACCATATGTTAGAATCTTTAACCTAGGCACACTATAGAAAATAAATTCCAAAAAACATTTTGATGCTCATTTGATACGAATTTCATATCACATCATCAATGTTGACCTTAATACTTCAAATTGACCAATAAATCCCTTTTTATCCAAATTCACCCAAACTTCACATAACATTTTTCAACTTTCCATTTTAACTACCATTTATGAATTCTTTTAGAATTCATATCAACTTTCCATTTTAACTACCATTTATGAATTCTTTTAGAATTCATATCAACTTTCCATTTTAACTACCATTTATGAATTCTTTTAGAATTCATATCAACTTTCCATTTTAACTACCATTTATGAATTCTTTTAGAATTCATATCAACTTTCCATTTTATTCAAAATAGTCCTTTGCCTTTTAGCTTCAATTCAAGTTTCAAACAACTTAATTAAATTTCCAGCATCTAATTTTCAGCTCAATACCTCAACAACTCCACTATTACCACTTAAGTCACTAACTTTCTCAATATTTTCCATCTAGTACTCAAACTTTGCAAACTTTCCAAAATAGTCAAATTTCACATTCTAACATCAAATTCAATATTCTAAATTTCAATTCCAGCATAGTACATCATCTTTATAACATTTTCACATAAACCCCATAATTTTCCATAATTTCTAAATAGGTCCCCTAACTTTCATAAAATTACAAAAATGGCCCAAATAACTTTCTAAGGCTTGTAGAACCTTTCAGACATCATTTCTAAGCCTAGGTAAATTTTTAACAATTTTCACCAATTAATTCCTTAGGGTCGAATATCATAATGGTTAGGGTTCTTGATTTCACCTGATTCAAGCATGTATTCCACCTCTAAACAACATTTCAAGGCTTCCACAATCAAAGACCTAACACAATTTAACCAAATCACAATTTTCTCAAAACCCTAGATCATGCCCAAATGAAATTTCACCCAATTTCAAGTAGTTTTAATCATCATACAAGCTTTAGAATTAATCTCCAACATAAAAAACATAAAAATCTTTCATCAAATCTTCAAAATCAACAAATCCTACATAACCCTTGATTTCCAAACTCATCATATAAGCATGATCTCCATGTAATATTTATACCAAATGATAGAGAATTTCAAGGGGATTAATTCTCTATCTAATAGCTTAATCCAAAAATCAATCGAATAATCTTAAAAAATAAAAATAAAATTGTTACCTTATAGCTATGGTGGTGCACGTTTTGGGGATGGAAAAAAATTAAAATTTATGATTTTTCTTCAATTAAAACATAATAGACTTGGCTTAATCTAATATAAATGAATTTAAAATTCATTTAATGTGAAATTATCATTTTACCCTTAATGAAACATGATAATTTCAATTTTCCATTGAATTATCACCCCTTTTAATATTACAAAGTGAAATATGAACAAATAAAAATCCACTTTCCACCTTTTCCATTACAAATTTTCAAAAACTATAATTTAGTCACTAAAAGTTTCCAATTTCAGCTAAATATGTAAAATCGACTTCAATTCTATTGATCCACATTAAATTCCATTGTTCTAAAATTTGGAAATAATATTTTCAACCTTTATTTATCATCCTTCAAATTTTTGTAAAATTTTGGTTCGATTCGATTATTCGATTTTCTTTCAGACTTTACTCTTTTATAGCTTTTAACACAAATTCCGGATCAAATTATGATTCTCATGAAAACGTCATTCTCGGGGTTGAACTATTTATTTATGGGGTCAAAAATACCTAACTTTTAAAAATTATCCTTTTGATCCCTAAACTTTTCCAACTTTTTACTTTGACTACTAAACTTTCAAAATTTATGTTTTGGTCACTAACTAAAATTTGGGGTATTACAGTCTTGGTCGAAGTTTGATACATTTGAGGGAATGACCTCTAAGGTTACAAATTTTGTTGTTAATCTCATTGGTACAAAGGATGAAAATGTTTAGGGGTGTGATGTGGCTAAGTTACAAGCATCGTAATTTCCAAATAATTAATCTTTTTCTCAAATAATTATGCTAAAAATGTAGAATAAGGAAGAAGAGTTTCGGTCCACAATGATTTAGAATTTTCTAATTCTGAGTTGATTTGATCTTGAACCAAGAAAGCTTTAAAACAAAATAATTAAAAATAGGGGGTTTAAAATAATCAAGTAAACTAAATAAAATAAAATAAAAGTGACAAAAGAAA